CATTACGCTAACTGCTGGTTCCCTTAATGCTTATAATTTTTTTAAAGAGCTTTTTTTTTTCTCAATTTGCCAAAGGGCACATGTGCTCACCTCCATGGGGCAAGGTCATGCTGCAATGCCATCTCCATTCCGCAGGGATCTGGGGTGCACATGCACACATACATACACACACACACACAACCAGCGTGTATTTCAAGCCAGGGGTCCGGGATTCAAAGCACACAGCCAGTCATGTGGGATCTGGCTCCCTTAACCCCTGTGTGAATAGGGATGGCACCCAATAAACTTTTTTCTTTTTTCTTCTTTGTTTTTTTAGTTTTGCTATAGGGCCCGTGCGCTTGCCTGAGGGAGACAGAGAGAGGGAAAGTGAGAAGTCACTTCCCAGGGGGTGGCCATGTGGCAACCCTTTCAGCCCATTCTCCTCCCAGGATTTTGGGCACGTGCGTACACGCGCCAGGGCGTTTCTCAAGTCACTGGGTCTGGACACAAACCACAGAGTTGGTGATGTGCGATCCAGCCACCTTACCCACCATGCCACCACCTGGTCCCCGAACAAAGCTTTTTTAAAAAAGTTTTTACAAAGAAGAGGTGGTGGTAGGGACGGAAAGGAAGTAGAGCCAGGGTTACTGACAGGCCGGGGGGTTGGAGTATGACTCTTAGGTTTTGGTCTTGAGTGAAGGGATGAAGGGCGTGGGGCATTAACTGAACAATAGAAAGAGCAGGCCAGTTTCTGGCATGAGATAAAGATTGATGGGGGTGGGACTAGCAGATGGCATACTGGTTATGTCTTAGACTCCCATGTAGTCAACCATAGTTCAAGTCCCAGACCTGGTGGCTTAAAACTCACACCACGCACATGTACGTGTGAGTCCAAAATCCCGAGAGGAGAAGGGAGAAGGGATTGCAGTGTAGCCACCCCACCCTGGGGGATGATTTCTCCCTCCCTGTCTTTGTCTCTCCAGCAAGCACACATGCCCCATAGCAAAAATCTGTCTCAAAAAAAAAAAAAAAAAGAGATTGGTGGGGGTTAGTTAGGTGGCGTCCTTAACCAGTCTTCGGACCACATAGTCCTCTATTACCTAGACTGCCAGGGAGTGATAACGCCATCATCGGGGCCTCCGATCAGCACCAGGCGGCCCACTCGAAGAAAGTTCTTCCGCCATGCTGCAGGATTGGGAAGAAGAGAACCTGGGTCAGTCCAGAGTTCAGGCAAAGCTGGAGAGAGAGAGACACACAGGGGTCGAGGAAGCAGAAAAGGGGACCCAGGTCGGTGCCCGGGGTCTCACCAGTAGCATTGGGATGGTCTCGTTCTCCATTGATCAGAGCCAGGAAGCTGCTAGCGTTGAGGTACAAGTCATCGTGGTGGGGGTCTGTTACAATCAGCAGTTAGAAACATCGTCAGAGAAGCAGAGAGGAGTGGCAAGACTAGAGTCTAGACAGAGTCTAGAAGGCCAACAGGAGGCGATGTGATAACCGAGGTGGCTAGTAATATAATAATTATAACCTGGCAGCAAGTGCTCTGACCCAGCACCCACTGTGAGCCAGACGCCACGTCAGGAGGCACACGCTACGGTGTTACTTTATAGATAGGAAACTGGGTAACAGGCAGGTTAAGCAACTTGCTCAAAGTCACCCAGCAGGGTTAGGCTTCCAATCCAAGCAGGCGGGCCCCAGCACCCACGGTCTTAAATGCTACACTCAGGGTTGGCCAACTATGACAGACGGGCCAAAGTCAGCCTGCCATGTGTTTCTGTAAATGCAGTTTTAATAGAAAGAGGCACGCTCGTTTACCTCTGGTCTACAACTGCTCTCACGCTACGACAGCAGAGCTGGGTAGCTGTGACAGGAACTTTTGGCCTAGGAACCCGAAAATACTTACCGGGGGCCTTCGAGAAGTTCATGGAGATGTGCATTATGAAAACAACTCTGCACAGATTTCGAGGTTTTTTGAGCATGAAAATCAACTTGTACTTTCAGTCTATTTTCCATGAACTTTTGGAAGCCCCCTCATACCTGGTCCTTCACTGAAAAGGTGTGCGAACCCTGGCATCAGACTCTCCTCTCTAAGGCAGTCACACAAGACACATAAAGCATGCCTGCGTGAATAGGCGGTGTTCGCTGCATGGAAGTTACCATTATCGCTGTCACTGTCATTGCTGCTAGGTACAGTGACGCAGCGGAGGTGGGAACCCCAAGCCTTCCCCTCCACACTCCCGCTCCACGGAGGTCCCGGCTCAGTAGCCCCTACTCACCGTGCCAGTAGTTGCATATGGAGAATTCCTGGCCCCAAGGACTATAGCAGATCCGGTAGAGGTTAGACCGCATGGAAGTGGGGAACAGCCACTTCAAATAGTCCGTGTCTAGCAAGAGAACAGCAGTGCCGAGTGACCCTAAACCTCTGTGCCCCCCAAACCCAGGGCTTTCTATGGCGCGCTCAAGGCCCACTCACCTCCATACTGTCCCATCTGTGGAGAGGAGAGGGAAATGAAAGAGTCCACATTGTGATCATCCATGACAGAGAGCAGAGCCCGGCACACGAGTCCCCCTGTAGGTAAGACGACAGTCGCACAGGGACTTGACGGCCAGGGCCCATGGCCGCCGCCCCTGCCCTCCCCACCACCACACTGCACCTAAAGGAGACCGAGGCCCAAGGAGGCAGGTATACCATGTGCCAAAGGGTCACACGTCACAGAAGTGGCAGAGCCAGAGTTAGATTCGGGGACCCCAACTCTAATTCTAGGATGCTCTTAACTGCCTGTTAGCCCTGAAGACCAAGAGCCACGGGGAATGGGGAAAGAAGGGGCAGTAGGGCTGAGAGCCTCCCTCCCACCCAAGACCCCGACAGAGGCAGCAGCTGGGTGCTGAGGGAAATCAAAAAGGGCTCAGGTACCAGGACTCAGAAAAAGGGACACGAAGAAGTGTCCCTCTGATGAGATCAAGCCTCATATAGGGCTTAGGACGTGGGGGAGGAGGGGGTATCCTACCCTGTGAGTAGCAGATGAGATGCACCCCTTGAGGGGCCTTTGCCATGATGGGGGCCACAGCCTCTCGGAACCCTTGCACCTGTTCCCACAGGGGCCGCAAGCTCTCCCTCCCATCGAAGAGATCGAGCACTGTCACCACAGTCCCGGGGTGTGTCTGTGGGAAAGGGGCAATGCAGCCGCCGGGGAAGGACGATGAAGCCCCCGCACACCAACCCCTGGCCAGCGTCCACACGCCTCCTGTGCCCGGTTAGAACCAGGGATCTCCCCAAGCCAGCACGCGCATCCCGAGGAACTGGACAGGCCCAGAAGGGTGGCTTTCAGTTCCCGGCTCTCCCTTCCCAGCCGCTGTAGACGACTCCAGTGCCCTTGACCCGGGAGTCCCCTGCCAGACCTCGTTGATGTATTCCAGCAGGTGGCGGAAGCTGTACGAGCTGTCGAAGAGCCCATGCACCACGATGACCGGCTTGTAGGGAACGCGGTGGGGCGCGGGGGCTGCGGGCAGCAGCAGCAGCGGCGGCAGAAACAGCAGCAGCAGCAGGACCCACGCCGGGGGGAACCGCTGCCCCGACGGCCCCAGCATGCTCCCGCCTAAGAAGGGGGCGGTGAGGGCCGGTGAGCGCCAGGACAACGCCCCCTCCCCTCCTAAGAGATGCCAGGCCATCACGCCGCCCCGACCCCCTGCCACCCGGGTTCTAATCACAAAGTACTCCTTCCAACTTCTCCAGGCCAGTCCCCACGCACCCCTACCACGCCGACGCACCAACGCGCTCCCCAAGTCCCGCCCCCAACTCAGCGCTCTGGCGACTTGGTCCCTAGGCCCAGGATCTTCCTAAGGCACAGCCCCAGCCGTTCTGCAAGACCCCTGAGCCACAGTCCTGGTCACCGGGAGCGTGCCAACCCCCACCTGGCCTGGGTCGGTGGACCTTGCTCCGCCCGCTGTTTACTTCTGCAGGCCACGGGGGCGGGGAAGGGCGTGAGGAAGAGCGCGCAGGGGGATGACGGGGAGGGGGTGGAGGGGCAGGGCTGCTTGGGGTCGCGCAAAGCCGTCACATCCGGGGCTTTCCCTGGCAACCGTGCGAGCGTCCCCCGCAACGCAGGCGGGGGACCGGCGGGGCGATGGAATATTCCACTGCGCCCTAGGAATGGGGAGGGCATAGGCGGCGCGGTCCATTTAGGCCGACGGGGAGAGGACGAAGCAGCGAACACACGCCGGGGATCGAAAGAAGGCCTCCCCGGGCCTCGCTTGCACCCAGCGACCCAAGGGGCAGATTTTCTCGCCTCGATTCGCCCCCACTTCCCAACCCGCAGCGGAACACGAAGTTTCCTTTACCCCAAAGGCTGGTGGGGTAGAGAGGGGGAAAGGGAGTCCTGCGTATTTTGCCGTTTGCCGGCCAGTGGCGGGATGAGTTAGGAGGCTGATGCCACCAAAGCCACCCCTGTACCTCCGCGCTCCCGCCCCAGGTCAGCGCCTTACAACTCTTCATTCTTGAAGTGCGTGTAGGGCTCTCGTCTCCAGAGACGCGGAGAGTGCTCCAGGCCCTCAAGCCAAGTGCAGCCTAGCCCAGTTTTTCCTGCCCTAATCCCTCTCCATAAACGACCCACCCCCGAGGGGTGGAGGGCCCCAAGGGTGCGCTGACTCACGGCCCCGCGAGGTTTTGACCAGTCTTTCAACCTAAGCGACCCTCGCAGTCCGACCCTCAGGGCTCTCTGCGGGCGCCTCCCCACCCAGACCCCTCCACCCCGTCCAGACTGAGGACTCCCGGACCTCTCCACCTCTCTCCGACCCCTTCCCATACTCCAGTCTCCCAGCTAAGGCTTTTCGAGTAAAAGACGTTTCCCTTGGAAAGAGGGTTTCTCAGCATGTCAGTTTCTCCCTCTGTTCGCTAGGGTTTTGCTCGCTCGAAACTCGGCTCTCCCAATAAAGCCAATTTACTCTGGGCAGTGTGTAGACTAAGGACGCGGTGAGGATAAGGGGTTAGTGGCTCACGCGAACGCCTGGGAAAGCAGAACAACCGTCCGAGGCCCGTGTTCTAAATCCCTGCCGCCGGGGACTGTTCAGCCGGGGCCTCTGAACTGCTCTGTCGTCTCCCGGTGGACACCGACAGGGGGGAACACAATCCGGCGAGCGCCCATCTCGGGTGGGGACTGGGCAGTACTACTGTCAAGATAAGGTTGTGGGGGCTAATAATGACACTGGCTGTGTTTTTGCAAAAAGCCCAACTGATGGAAATCCTGGTAGACTGCCTATTCGCAACCCCCTTCCCACCCACGCGCTCCCAAGATGCAGCGAGCACATAAAAAGACTGCAATAACGCTGTGTCTCAACTCGACTCAGGAGGTGAGGCTGCGGTCTCGGCGAGGGTGGTGGGTGGAAGTCGGAGACGTGACGGAATGAACCTGAAACTGGCCGGCCTAGGCAGTTGAGGCCGCCCAACCAGCCAGAGGGAACAGGCACACGGTCTTAAATGGAGCTGCCGGAAATGAGCAGTTCAGGCATCCCTCCCTCTCCAAAAGCCCTTGAGCTCCTTAACTCTGGATGAAGAAGGTATCTGTACATCCTGCGCCCCCACGAACTCTCTCATCCCCTCCGCACCCCCTCTGCAGCTGGCCACTCCGGAGTGACAGACGCAGCTTCCCGCTCTGCTGCCGGGGTGGCAGGTGCACCGTACCGCGCAAGTTTGCATAGCATTGCAGTTCTCAACTCTGCACAACGCCCTCTCGCGCGCGGTTCTCTTCCAGGAGATAAGTAGGAAGAGGAAACGGGCCACGGGTCTGTGGGAAGCTACCGTCACCCTGCTGGGAGCTCAGAGGGAAGCTGGGGGCACGGATGGGGGAAGTCCTGCCTGGGGGAATCGAGTCTGGAGGGAACTGGGGTATTGAATCCAGGAGTACCTGCTCACTTCCTCCCACGGTATAAGCGCTACCGCGAGTCCTGGAGGGGGTAGACTCTAGAGAGTTCTCTCTCCCTCCTTCCTTCCCTTAGTCCCACCCCCCGCCTGGTCTTGCCTCCCTGTTTCCATGACAACTCCAAGGGAGCCTAAACTGGGGGCTTGAACGCTAGGGTGAGAGGAGGAAAGAGGTGGTCCGAGCGAGAGCGGAGAGACCGAGCGGCGGGGGGACGTCTAAAAAACGCTCCCCCTCCCTCGCCTCGGTCCCTTCGGCGGGGGGACGTCTAAAAAACGCTCCCCCTCCCTCGCCTCGGTCCCTTTAAGCTCCCCCCTCCCAGCTCTCCCTCCACCCCCCCTCCCCGCCGCTGTCTTCATCTCTCCATCTCTGCGCCGC